TCAGCGACATAGGCAGGCCGTAAGGCTCCCAGTGAGAGCGCAGAGGCCTCAGTGCCCAGACAGGTGAGGGTGACAAGGTCTAGCCCTGCGAGGGCACATGGAGGCAGGGAGTTGGCCTGGTGCAGGGTCCCCACGCTCCCACTGGCCCAGGGGCAGCTGTCAGGCCACTATTGGAGGCTGCCGGCCAGCCGAGGACTCAGCAGCGGGGTCAGGACACACGGGTCGCCGCGGTCCAGGGCGCACACGGGAGCAGGAACACGGCTTGGAAAGGGGAGGGGCAGCTGGGCCACCAGCTCACGGCCGTGGTAACTCCCGCCCGACAGGGACGTCTGCGCTGACCGCTGACCGCAGGGAGCAGCGAGCCCTCTAGGAGGAAGGGAAGCCAACGAGCCACGGCTGGGTGAGCTTCACGGGAGCAAGAAGCCCGTCCATCCTCTGATGATGCCAAGGGCGAGATGATCTGGAAGCCACGGCTCATGTGGGCCTGGACCAGGGAGGCCTGCCACGAGGCGGGATGACATGCTGGCTGCAGCCACGGGCTCGCACCCCACCGTGGTGGTGAGGGCGGCGCAGAGCCTGGCAGCGTGTCCTCTGTCACACAGAGTGGCTGTGTGTTGGGGCCGACCCACCCTGACAGGGCAACCACTGCAGGCAGCGAGTCGCTCTGAGACGGAGGGAGACGGGGTCCCCTCTGAGCCACAGAGAGGACCTGTACTTCCAAGGTGCTGAGACCCCAGTCCTGCTGCCGCCCGCCTGACACTGGAGAACCCACAGGGGACGAAGGGACAGGCCACCAAGGCCAACTCCACCCATGTCACCTCAGGGACCTGACCGAGAGGTGACTTCTGGGGACAGGGACCAGTCCCCTCCATGCCCACTGCCCTTTCCTATACAATGCTTGGCAGAAGGCCGTATTTGCATCTGATACACAGGCAGTAAGACACGAAGACTTGTGTGAAGTGAACAATCTGAACTCTTACAACATTAGCAACCGAGAAACAAGAACAAGAGAGAGAGGCAGTGTCAGATGAGCTGGGGCAGCGGTGCTCAACCTGAGGTTGAGCGGTGCTCTAACGGACCTTTCACAGGGGTCGCCCGATTCTTAACAGTAGCAAAATGACAGTGATGAAATAGCAAGGGAAGTAATTTTATGGTTGGGGGGTCACCACAACACGAGGAACTGTATGAAAGGGTCACGGCATTAGGAAGGTTGAGAATCGACCATTCTAAACGACTTGCAAACTCATTCAGGAGATTATACCAGCTGTGGACACGCAATGGGGGAAAGGTGAGGCATTCCAGCAAAGACATGGCAACGCTAAAAAAGAGCCAAACAGAAACCTCAGAAGTGAAAGAGTCACACGTGAGCCGAACTCAGCGGGCGGATCCAACGGAGAAGACCAGTGAACGGGAGACGGCAGGCCGGCAGACAGGTAGGTCCGAGCTGCCGGGGCAGAGACAGAAGGGTCAGCAACTGACCACACCGACGATGACGCAGGGGCACAACAGAAACAAGCACCGAGAACTGCGCGACCGCGCGCGCTCTAACCGATGTGCGGGAAGGGCACGAGTCCCACGGGGAAAGATACGCAAAAGCTAGTAACAGAGTTTCTCAAAGACACCAAGCCTTGGGTCCCAAGAAGCTAAGAAGACCCCAAAGGGGGTACAAAGCAGGAAACGAAAGCCCGCTCCAGGCATGGACTAGAGACTGAAAATCAAACGTCCTGCAACCATCTTGGGCGCAGCAGGAAAAAGGGTGCAAGACGCCAGAAACCTGTCAGCAGGAAGGCCGGCCGGCTTCTCGTGCAAACAGTGGAGGGGCAGGGGCCCGGGGCTGGGCTGGGAGGAGGGGGGCAGGGGTCCGGGAGGAGGGGGGGCAGGGCCCCGGCGCGCCCACCTGCTTGACGGTGAAGTCGTTGACCAGGTGGTGGTTGTGCTCGTTGAGGCCGCAGTG